CCGGGATCAGATTCACAGGCTACCACCCGGTACTAGGAAGTTTGGAATACAGCACGAGAAAGAACTAGCAACGGTTGTAGAAAACCTCAGGAAGGCCCAGCATAGAATGGTAGAACAGGCCAATAAACATCGCCGCCCGTCACAGTTTCARGTAGGCGACTTAGTCTGGGTCAAAGCTAAAGAGTTTGCACCTGAGGAAAACATCTCACAGAAGTTACTGCCTGCATATAGAGGACCGTGGCCGGTTTTAGAAGTCAAGGGCGGAGAGGATGGACCATCCTACACTATAGAGATCCCATTACACCTCCACACATATCCTGTCTTTCACGCTTCAAAGTTGTTGCCGTGTGTCACAAGCCAACAGTTCCCTTCAAGACGATCTATGATCCCTCCGGATATGGACGGAAGTTGTGACATTGAAGGTATTGTAGACGAGGATGTGTTTAGAACAGGAGGTAGAGGTCGTCCAGAGAAACAGTATAAGGTCCGGTTTGCTTATCTGGAACCCGAAGACGACCGCTGGTTCACAAGGACAAAACTTCTAGAAACAGCTCCCGACATAGTCAGAGCCTATGAACGTGATAAGAAAGGTAAAGGTCCTGCCTTGGACTGAAATATTCTCGGAGGACCTCGAATTTAGGACGTCGGGAGTGAAACGGTTTTCATCTTTTAGCAGTGGCGGATGCAGTACCCAGGGTTCGATCCCTAGACCTCGTCCTATTAATGTACAGTATCTGTGTAGACCCTGAGAGTTGAACCTGTGACCTATGCATTCGTAGACAGTTGGAAGGTTTGTCATAGGTCCGTAGGAAGCAGGGGTTCGATCTGTAGATCTATAGATTATAAGTCTTAGTGAAGTCCAGAACCTTAGCTATAGTCCTTCTAGAAGGTAGGCAAGTGGGCAAGTGGTCAAGTGGCGAGGCAAGTGGTGGACTAAACTGCAGTGCAATGGCAGCACGACTACAGTAGGATAGCAGTGAGTCCACAGTCAGTCAGCAGTAAGGTCCAGTCAGTCCCAGTCCGGTCCAGCAAGTACCACGGGGACTATGAGCACCATGGGCCGATGGCAAAGGGYAGACCAACGAGTYTCTGAAGTATAAATCMAGAGGCAGCGCCCAGCCTTTCATTCATTCCTGCGTGAGCCATGCGGAAGCGCTGCCACAAGCGACTTGTGCAAGGAGGTCTGCAGATGAGCCCGGAGGACGCAGTGGGCGAGAGAGAAGGAGCTTGGTGTTGCGATAAGGTAGAGCCAGCCATAGCTGCCATAGCCGTAGTTAGCGTGAAGTGTGTGTGTGTATGTGCGAGTGTTCAGAGTTACGCGTGTGGGATATCCAGGGTGATCCGGTGTGTGTGAACAGTGAGTTGTTTGGGCGCTGAGTCGCCATAGCCAGTTAGAGATGAGCTCGTATCTGAAAGCCATATCTCTGAGTTTTGAGTGGGCGCATGTCGCCAGTTTGCTGCGTTGCTGATTACATGCATGAAAAGTGTGAATGAGTACGAGTCTGATTGCAAAAGGGCAGGACTCTTTCCTCAGGGAGATATCGCATAGATGCGATCCTTAGGAAGACCGTACACCTGTTAGAGTGCCATAATACCATACACCGAAACAAACGCCTTCAGAGCAAGGCAGAGATCAATTCAACCGGCAAAAGCAAAAATTCCCAAACCGCCAGCTGCAGGCATTCAAAGGATAAACTACGATGTTCCCCCTAACGGACCCCCGCTCATCTGTGCATCTATGCACTGGCAATCGGTGCGTCTATAGACTGGCAATTTGGTGTATCTATACACTGGCAAGCAGTCTATCTATATCTATACACTAACAATCAGTCCATCTATAGACTGACTGTGCTTCCTTATTCGGGGGAAAATGGTAGACGGAAGACCGCTGCACAAAAAAAAGCAGGAGACCTTCCACAAAAGGAAGTGATGCGACTGCCGCAATCAACATTTTTCAGGGGTCATCTGGTATCACTACAATGTTCTATGACGGAGTAATTTCGATCCTAAGACAACAATAACAATGATAGTCGTGCTCCACACTGGCGATACCTGCCGCAGCAAGAAGAAGAAGAAGAAGAAGAAGAAGAAGAAGAAGAAGAAGAAGATATTTTTTAAAAATTTGAATGAATCATAGATTTCTAAGAATATTCTTTTCTTCAATATTCTTTATTTTAAATAAATATATTTTTCATTATGAATCAATTGCCTTGGTTAAGTATTATTATATTATTTCCCATCTTTGCAGGATTTGTTATTCCATTACTTCGTAGTAGGGAAGAAGAAGAAGAAGAAGAAGAAGAAGAAGAAGAAGAGGGGCGGGGGCCATACCTGCATCAGTCGTACTTAACTGGGCACCATAGCCGTGCCCCACACTGGCGACGTGTACAACAACAACAACAACAACACATACCTGCGTCAGCGGTATTTAACTGGGCGCCATAGCCGTGCTCCACACTGGCGACCTGAAGAAGAAGAAGAAGAAGAAGGAGAAGAAGAAGAAGAAGACGAAGAAGAAGAAGAGGGGCGGAGGCCATACCTGCGTCAGCCGTACTTAACTGGGCGCCATAGCCGTGCTCCACATTGGCGATCTGTACATCCACACTGGCGACCTGTACAACAACAACAACAACAACAACAACACATACCTGCGTCAACGGTACTTAACTGGGCGCCATAGCCGTGCTGCACACTGGCGACCTGAACAACAACAACAACAACAACCACAACCACAACCACAAGAA